TGAACCCTGTCTCTACTAAAAATACAAAAAATTAGCCGGGCGTGGTGGCCGGCGCCTGTAGTCCCAGCTACTCGGGAGGCTGAGGCAGGAGAATGGAGTGAACCCGGGAGGCGGAGCTTGCAGTGAGCTGAGATTGTGCCACTGCACTCCAGCCTGGGTGACAGAGCGAGACTCTGTCTCAAAAAAAACAAAAAACAAAAAAAAACCCTCATGCTAAGTTACAGAAACTAGTCATAAAAAACAGATTTTATTCACATGAAATACCCAGAATGGGTAGATCCACATAGGAAGTAGATGAGGGGTTATCAGGAGCTAGGGAGACATGGGAGTGGGGAGTGACTATTAACAAGCATGGGGTTTCTTTATGCAAGTGATGAAAATATTCTGGAGTTAAGAGGGTCATGATGGTTGCACAATTTTGTAACCATATTAAAAAACTGAATTGTACACTTTAAAAGGGGTAAATTTTATGGTATAAGAGTTATATCTCAGGCCAGGCGCAGTGGCTCACACCTGTATTCCCAGCACTTTGGAAAGCCGAGGTGGGTGGATCACCTGAGGTCAGGAGTTCAAGACCAGCCTGACCAACATGGTGAACCCTCATCTCTATTAAAGTACAAAAAATGAGCTGAGCATGCTGGCAGGCTCCTGTAATCCCAGCTACTTGGGAGGCTGAGGCAAGAGAATTGCTTGACCCTGGGAGGTGAGGTTGCAGTGAGCCCAGATCGCACCATTGCACTTCAGCCTGGGAAAGAACAGCGAAACTCCGTCTCAAAAAAAACCAGTTATATCTCGAAAAAAAATAGGAATTGTCCTATACATTGGGGTCAGTTACAACTTGATATTCACATTGAAAGGATTTTAACGTAACACGCATTCATAGCCGTACTCTTGAGTCATCAAAAAAGGTTTATTTTCAGAATTATGTGATTAGGTCATGGAAATGGGTAATACATTTCAGATTTTCTTCTTCCAGTAGAGTGAGTTTATACGTTGAAACAGCAAGTTAGATCAATTTATATGGGACATCCAAAATCCAAATGGAAACATTTTAAATATCTGTAAGAGTTAAATATTATAATAGTCCCAAGAATATAACAGAATTCAAGACTTCCATCAAGTTCAATGATCTTTAAAAAGGTGGTTGGGAAAGACAATTACACATTTTAGGAACCATTAAGTTCGAAGGTCTTTGGAATAGAAGCAAAAGACATGTATTTCTATGAGTAGACAGAAGATTTAGGTAGCAAGTGTAACTTGAACTAAGGTTGTGGTTGAGAAGATCAACTCTCTCTTTTTTTTTTTTTTTTTGAGACAGAGTCTTGCTCTGTCACCCAGGCTAGAGTGCAGTGGCGCGATCTTGGTTCACTGCAATCTCTGCCTCCCGGGTTCAAGCCATTCTCCTGCTTCAGCCTCCCAAGTAGTTGTGATTACAGGTGCCTGCCACTGCGCCCTGCTAATTTTTGTATTTTTAGTAAAGATGGGGTTTCACCATCTTGTCCAGGCTGGTCTCGAACTCCTGACCTCGTGATTCACCCCCCCCCCAACCCTCCACACCCCAACCTCCCAAAGTGTTGGGATTACAGGCACGAGCCACCACACCCGGCTGAGAGGATCAACTCTTTTAAGATACAGAGTCATTAATCTAAAATTTAATGTGTCCCACCAATGTCAGCAAAACTAATCTTGTTAGCCTGCTTAGCAAACATTCCTGAGTCATAAAGAACTTCACCTAACTAGGGTGGTAATTGTATTCCTTGATGGATAAACGATCCTTTAGCTTTGGGAAGATTTAGAATTAAGTACAGATGCTCCTCAACTTATGATGGGGATACATCCCAATAAACCTATTTTAAGTTGAAAACACTGTAAGTTTAAAATGCCTTTAATACCCCATTAAACCCACTGTAAAGTCAAAAAATCATAAGTTAAGCCATTGTAAGTCAGTGATCGTCTGTATTAAAAACATTTAACAGCGGTGGTTTGAACATTTGTATCCCCTCCAAAATTCATGTTGAAACTTCATCCCCAAGGCCGGGCACGGTGGCTCACGCCTGTAATACCAGCACTTTGGGAGGCCAAGGCAGGCGGATCAGAGGTCAGGAGATCAAGACCATCCTGGCTAACACGGTGAAACCCCATCTCTACTAAAAAATACAAAAAAATTAGCCAGGCGTGGTGGTGGGCGCCTGTAGTCCCAGCTACTGGAGAGGCTGAAGCAGGAGAATGGCGTGAACCCGGGAGGCGGAGCTTGCAGTGAGTCGAGATAGCCCCACTGCACTCCAGCCTGGGCGACAGAGCAAGACTCTGTCTCAAAAAAGAAAAAAAAAAAAAAAAAAACAACTCATCCCTATTGCAACAGTATCACCTTTAGGAGGTGATTGGGCCACGAAGGCTCCGCCCTCATGGATGGAATTAACGCCCTTATAAAAGGACCTGACGGAGTGAGTTTGGCCCCTCTTGCCCTTCTATCCCTTCTGCCACGTGAAGACACAGCAGTCCTCCCATCCAGAGGATGCAGCAACGCGGTGCCATCTTGGAAGCAAAGAGCAGCCCTCACTAGGCACCAAACTGCCTGGACTTCCCAGCCTCCAGAAGTGTGAGAAATAAATTTCTGTTCTGTGTAATTACCCAGTCCCAAAGTATTTTTATAGCTGCACAAATGGCATGAGACAGAAAAGATTTAGAATAAAAACACTTAAGAGAATCAAAACTATAGTTGGGGAAAGCCTCATTGAGAAGATGGTATTTGGGTAAAGTCCAAAGGAAGTAAGAGTCATGTGGGTGTCTGGGGAAACAGTATTTCAGGCAAAGGGAAAAGCAAGCGCAAAGGCCCTGAGGTGAGCAGCGGGGAAGCAATGGGATATGAAGTCAGAAAGGGAAAGCAAATCATGAGAGAAGTAGGACATAGTGAGACCAGATGCTGTAAGGCTGCATAGACTATTATGGAGCTTTTGGCTTTTAAACTGCGTAAGATGGGGAACCACTGACCAATTTTGAGCACAAAAGTAACAAAAGCTTCATTCAAGGGAATCAAACACATCAAATCCTTTAAATATGATTAACATATCATTGTGTCACTGAGTTAAATCTATTAGACATAGTTGTATCTAAAAATTATATTTAAATGATACAGGATGAATCAATATTACTCTATCTTACAAAGTTTTTCATGGCCTCAAATCATTATCAACAGCAAAGCTGGTGATTTCAGGGCTTGGAGATAAGGGTTAGTGGCTTGGCCTCCTTCCTGGAGTCCCTACTCATTATGCCTCCTGCTGACATTTTTGAGCACAATCCACCCAGACACCCATTTGGTCAAGGGCCCTAAGCCAGATTCTCACTTCCCAGTTGCCACTTGTGTGGCCAGAGAGGTTCCCAGGAATAAAGACATCTGATCCCTGCTTATCAGTGAGGGGCTCTTGCTCCAGTCCACAAATGCATCCATACCTGAGGCATGGAGGAGATTAAGACTGGAGCAGAAGCTTGCTGGGGATTTTGGAGGCTTTCCTGAAAAAGATCAGTTAAGGTTTTCAGTGCAGGGAAGCGCTGTGTAAGATTGGCCCTTCTAGTAAGCGTATCCCTTGGAGGAGGCGTGTAGGAGGAGAGACATCTGGCAGGTGACCCGTTCTAATCACTGCGGGTGGTGGGGGTAGTCCTATGGAGGGAGGGGGAAGGGACGGGAGGAGGCGTGAGGGATAGCCTGACCCGGGGAACAGGAAAAAAAAAAAAAAAAAAAAAAAAAAAAAAAAAGACGGAGAAGGAAACAAGGAAAGGGTCCTGGGTGGCTATGTCACCCTGGCCTAGAGGTGAAACGCCATGCTTCACACGTGTTCCCTCATTTGCAAAGTGGAATTACCGTCAGCCTAAGTGGTTGTTTTATGTGAAATTAAGTGAAATAATTCATATAGGTGAAAGCACTCCATTTAAAGTTGTGCAAATATAAAGGTTTATCAAGCATAGTGATACTGACGTGTGGTTAGAAGCCCACCAGGTGTGTGTGTAAATCTACCGCTTCCAAACGCGTCTCAGAATGATGTGGAGTAGGGCCATTGGAACAATCAGCGATAAATAAGCGCATCTGAAGGGGAAGGGAACAAGCCGCTGACTAACTCACAAAAGAGGCGGTCAGCATGGGTAGAGATGAGCATGTACGGTTCCGTCCAGAAGCAAATAGTTGGAGCTCAACATTGGTTAGGCGCGGTGAGTTAGCCCTCGGTTTTCTAAGCCCAGATGTCGCATCTTGACATAAAACCAAGGATGGAGGCTGTACCGAGAAATTCGGGCTACTGCCCTGGGAGCCAGGCTCACCGGCAGCGCCCCTGGCCGCGCCCGCAGAGGCTCCGGCTCCGGCCCCGGCCCTGCCCTCCTCGCGCGCCCCCCCGGCGGCCGCCCGTTTTTGCGCCGCGCAGCCCGAGCCCCTCCGGAGTCCGCGGCGCTCGACGGCTCCAGACACGCCCGGCGCCGTCCCCGCCGCCTTCCCGCCGCCGCCGCCAGGAGGCTCCGCGCGCCTTCCCGCCTTTCCCCGGGCCGGGCCGGGCGGCTAGGCGGGCGCGGGCGGCGACGGCGCGGCCATTGTCCCGCAGCCCCTCCCGGGCGCGCAGGAGGGGCCGGCCTGGCGGGCTGGGCGGCGCGGCCGGGCGCGGGGAGGGGCGGCCGGGAGCCGGTGCCCACCAACGCCCGCCGCCGCCCCGGGCTCGGCCCGCCGCCGCCGCCCGCGCGTCCTCCGTGGCCGCCCACAGCCCCTCGGAGCCGGCGCCGCCGCCGCCGCCGCCGCTGCGCCCCGGGCTGCAAATGGCGCCCGCTCGCCTCGGCGCCTCCCGCCGCGCTCCCGGCCCGGGGACGTCTTGGGGAGGCGCGCCCAGGGCCCGCATCTCAGCACCGCCGCCGCCCGGGCCGTGAGAGCCCGCGGCGCCTCCGCCCGCGGCCAGGCTCGCGGCGGGTCCCGGGCAGCCCCGACGCCCGCCCGCCCTCCGCCGGCGCCGCGCGCCGCCACTTACCGCGGGCCGCGGCGCACCGGCCGGTCGCGCGCGCGGGCCGGGGGAAGATTCTTGGTTCTCGGCTGGGGAAGGACCCCCTTTCGAGGCCGTTCCTTTGCGCCCTAAAACAAGTAGCCCCAACGTGAGAGAAACAAAAGGTATTTGCTGACGTGGGCGTTGGACAGAAACGCCCGAGGGCTGGGGACACAATTAAAGGGGCAACGCACAGATTTCAGGCACCAACCAGCAGCTTCGCCCACTCCCCCTGCCCTTGCCCACACCCGCTGCACGCTCCAGAGGCACCGGGGTGCCCAGATTCTCTAGCAGTTGACTGCGGATCATGATTTTAGTCAGGAGCTGAAATTTAAAATTGTACTTTACGTTGGGAAAGGCGCCTCCGGAGGGCAGAAGGGCTGGATTTCTAGGATCTGGGGAATTTGGTTTAGGAAAGAGGGAGGGACTTAGGCGTGCCCACAATTACTGTATAAGTACATGTGACATTATTGTACTTAAGTTTAGCAACGTCAAATGCAAAAGATTTCCACAGAATTTTCCCTTGTATTGAAGCAGTTATTTTAGTTGAGGATAACCTTTTCTAAACCTCTACAGGTCAGAAGCATTTCATTTGAAGAGGAAAACCCAGAGAAGCTAAGAGAACATAATTCCTAGTTTAAGTCCAGAGAAATACAAAATTAGTAAAAACAGCAAGTTCCGTCTTTTCCAATACAAGCATTCATTGTATACCAAGCTTCCTCTGACAAATTTACATCTCTAATATTTAGAGTACAGATATCAGGTTATACATTTGCTAAAATAGTAAATCAGTGGATTTTCACTGTTACTATAGAAGCATTACTTCTATAAATTAGTTTCCTAGTTCCTTATGCTGGGGTCAGGTACTGAAAAGTACTGTGTTATAGTAAAACTGGAGGAAAAAGGTTCAAATTATCAAAACTTGGGTTTAGCTTTTAATGGATTCCTCTCCTGTTCATAATCAGTCATATTGGACAGTCTGTAACTTTGATTTCAGGAATAATTATGCATTTTGAGGATGCAAGATCTTCACAATTGTCTCTTAATGTCACTTCTGTGTCACTGCAGAGGTGCTTTGCTATTTAGTTGTGTTTCCTTGCCTTCTGAACAGGTAAGTAGAAACATATTTGAAAACCATTAGGTATCAGGTATATTGGATGTACTCAGATTACTCTGCTAGCGCCCCCCATTGAGAATTCCCCCAGAAAGACCTGGACATGGTTATAGCCAAAGGTTTGATTTTAGCCTTAATTAAAGATTAATGCAAAAGAGTTCCACAAACTTATTCCTCAAGAGAGCACATCAGGTTGGTGATAAACTCTTCGTTGTGGCCGGGCGCGGTGGCTCTCGCCTGTAATCTCAGCACTTTGGTAGGCCAAGGCAGGCGGATCACGAGGTCAGGAGTTCGAGACCAGCCTGGCCAACGTGGTGCAACCCTGTTTCTACTAAATATAAAAAGTAGCTGGGCATAGTGGTGCGTGCCTGTAATCCGAGCTACTGGGGCAGCTGAACCAGGAGAATGGCTTGAATCCAGGAGGTGGAGGTTGCAGTGAGCCGAGATCGTGCCACCGCACTCCAGCATGGGTGACAGAGCAAGACTCCATCTCAAACAAACAAACAAACAAACAAAAAACTTTGTTGCAAGGAAGAGGTAATGACAGTTTTGTCCCTCATCTTCATTCTGCTAGCTTTGGGAGCTTGTTTCTCTATGTTGGGGCTCCATCATTAACCAGTGCTAGTCTCTTAAACTCTGACTGCTTGGCCGGGCGCGGTGGCTCACGCCTGTAATCCCAGCACTTTGGAAGGCCGAGGCGGGCGGATCACAAGGTCAGGAGATCGAGACCATGGTGAAACCCCGTCTCTACTAAAAATAGAAAAAAATTAGCCGGGCGCAGTGGCGGGCGCCTGTAGTCCCAGCTACTCGGGAGGCTGAGGCCGGAGAATGGCGTGAACCCGGGAGGCGGAGCTTGCAGTGAGCCGAGATTGCGCCACTGCACTCCAGCCTGGGCGACAGAGCGAGACTCTGTCTCAAAAAAAAAAAAAAACTCTGACTGCCACCCTACCCCACCCCCATCCCTGTTTCCACCTCTTCAGTTCAAATCTTGAGGAAGATAATCCATTCCAATTTTTTTTTTTTTTTTTTTTTTTTTTTTGAGACAGAGTCTCCCTCTGTTGCCCAGGCTGGAGTACAGTGGCAGGATCTCGGCTCACTGCAACCTCCGCCTCCCAGGTTCAAACAATTCTCTGCCTCAGCCTCCTGAGTAGCTGGAATTACAGGTGTCCACCACCACGCCCGGCTAATTTTTGTATTTTTAGTAGAGACGGTTTCCCCAGGTTGCCAGGCTGGTCTTGAGCTCCTGACCTCATGATCCACCCGGGTCGGCCTCCCAAAATGCTGGGATTACAGGCTTGAGCCACTGCGCCCGGCCCCATTCCAATTTTAACAGTGCCTGCTAAGGGTAAAGTTTTTGCTCTAGGCTCTTGGAATGCAGTGGTGAGTAAAAAATTCACCAAGTCCCTGCTTTTATGGGATTTGCAGTCTAGTGGGGGAGACAGATGGTAATCAAATAAATGTATAATTTGAAAATTGTATAAGTCTGAAGGAAAGGTATGTTGTGTGATGAGAATATTGATGAAGTGGGGACCCGTCTCATGAGGGAGGGGGTTTGTACAAGGAGGGCTTCCTTGAGGTTATCTTGACTGGAAATCTGGAGTAGGAATTAATAGGCAAGCGTGTGAGTGGTCAGGAGCATTCCAGATAGAGGGAGCAAAATGGTGCTTGGTAGATGGGAATATGGCATAAAAGGCTGATGAGGCTGGAGTACAAGGTGAGGGGGAGAGACAAGAGATAAGATGGGAGAGGGAGGCAGGGGTCAGACCATCAGGGCCTTATGGGGCCAGGTTAAGAACTTCGGGAGCCATTAATGTGTTTTAAGCTGCATGGGGCGTGTGTGCTATGATGAGGTAAGCGTTTTGAAAAGATGACTGTGGAAGATGATTTAGAGGGAAGGAAGAGTGGATCACAGTGGCCCAGCTAAGAGATGGTGGAATCTTGAACTAGACTGGAGGTAGAGGAGGTAGGTAGAAGTGGGGATATCAAGTGAGGTGGAGAGTTAAATATTAGAGATAATAGGTTGACTCTGGGAAATGAGGGAGAAGGCAGAGTCAAAGACAACTCCCAGCCTTTCGGAACTGGACAGATGGTGGTTCTGTTCACTGAGAGAGAAAGGACTAGAAGGCCAGAATTTTAAAAATTTTTAAATTAAAAAAACAATTCCTACTTGAACCCAGGAGGTGGAGGTTGCAGACAGCCGAGATCATGCCACTGTACTCCAGCCTGGGCAACAGAGTGAGACTCCGTCTAAAAAAAAAAGAAAAAAGAAATTTCATCATCCAAGTCATATAGGTGGGACAGGAATTAAAACCATGGATATGGATAGAGAATATAAAATGAGAAGAAAAGAAGGCTTAGGACCAAACATTGAGCTATTTCCTCATCTAGTGGGTGGTTAGAGGAAGGTGAAATTGCAAATGAGTGTGAGAAGACTGGAAAGGAAGGAAGAGACCTGGGATAATGTGGTGGCATAAAAACTAAGAGAAGAGTCTGGACACAGTGGCTCATTCCTGTAATGCCAGCACTTTGGGAGGCTGAGGCAGGAGGTTGGCTTGAGGCCAGGAGTTCCAGACCAGCCTGGGCGATATAACAAGACTCAGTCTCTACAAAAAAATCAAATAAATTGGCTGGGCTTGGTTGTTTGTGCCTGTAGTCTTAGCTACTTGGGAGGCTGAGGTGGGAGGATCGCTTGAGTCCAAGAGCTTTAGGCTGCAGTGAGCCATGATGGCATCACTGCACTCCAGCCTGGGTGACAGAGCGAGAACTCAACTATGAAAATAAGAAAAAAAGGAAGAATTGGGTAGTAGTGCTAAATATTGCTAAGAGAACAAATCTAAAAGAAAATTACGGCCGGGCGCAGTGGCTCAAGCCTGTAATCCCAGCACTTTGGGAGGCCGAGACGGGCGGATCACGAGGTCAGGAGATCGAGACCATCCTGGCGAACACGGTGAAACCCCGTCTCTACTAAAAAATACAAAAAACTAGCCGGGCAAGGCGGCGGAGGCCTGTAGTCCCAGCTACTCGGGAGGCTGAGGCAGGAGAATGGCATAAACCCGGGGGGCGGAGCTTGCAGTGAGCTGAGATCCGGCCACTGCACTCCAGCCCGGGCGACAGAGCCAGACTCCGTCTCAAAAAAAAAAAAAAAAAAAAAAAAAGAAAATTACGTTTGATTACATTTGACAAGTTGGAGATCATTGACATTTGACAAGTTGACACTGACAAGTCAATTTGAGATCATTGACTTTAGAGAACATGATTAAGCTTAAAAGATGGGGTGGATATCCAGATTAGAGGAATAAGTGGAGGATGAAGGAATAGAGATGATGAGAACAGACAAGTCCTCTCAGAAACTGGTTTATAAAGGGGATGTTCCAGTTATTTTTACTGTGTAATAAACCAAACCAAACGTACTAGTAGAAAACCGAAACGGTTTTATCATGCTCCTGGATTCTATGGGTCAGGTCACAGCAGGGGTGGCTTGTTTTTTTTTCCTCTGTTGTCTGGAGCCTTAGCTGGGAAGACTTAAATGACTGGGGGTGACTTGAACTACTAAGAACTGGAATCATCTGCAGGTTTCTTCGCTCAAAGTTTTGGCACCTAGGCTGGGATCACTGGAAGGTTGGCTCAGCTGAGATTGTCATCTAGAGCACCTACCCTTGACCTCTCTGTGGGGCTGGGGCTTCCTGCAGCATGGCAGCTGGGTTCTGAGAGAGTGTGTCCAAGACAGGTAGGAGGGAGCTGCATGACTTTTTCTGCCTCTCTGTGGAAGTTGTCACAGCCTACTAAGATTCAAGCAGAAGGGGGACATAGTTGCTATCTCTAATGGAAAGAATGTCAGATAATTTGGGGTAATGTTTTAGAATTATTACAGGCAAAGAGAGACGGTGGTAGCTAGACGGGGATATGTGTAAAAGAATATATATATTTTTTGAGACAGCTGTCACTCAGGCTAGAGTGCGATGACATGAACACGGCTCACCGCAGCCTTGACCTCCCAGGCTCAAGCAATCTTCCTGCCTCAGCCTCCCAAGTAGCTGGGACTACAGGTGCACACCACCATGCCTGATTTTTTAATTTTATGTAGAGATGGGGATCTCCCTATGTTGCCCAGGCTGGTCCCAAACTCCTGGGCTCAAGTGATCCTCTCACCTCAGCCTCCTGATGTGCTGGGATTACAGGTGTGAGCCACAAACCTAATCTACTTATACAGATTATGGTAGCTAGAAGTGCTGCCATAACAAAAACCTGAAAATATGACTTTGGAACTAGACAGTAGGTGGAAGGGCTTTGAGGTGTTAATGAA